TTTGCCAGTAATATTGCATTGAACAACTTGGAATTTTAGACCCCTGAAGAAACCAAGGACTTGGACGATAAGTACGACCCTCTTACAATATCAGAGCTTCAGTATAAATTTAGAGACGTTCCTTGGTTAGAATACATTAACAGATTACAGTTCCCTGCCCCAAACATCTCATATGAGCAAATTGTAACCGTATCCGATTCTCCTTACTTCATACGACTACAAAACGCTTTGAGGCGTACGCCAAAACGGTATTTTACACATTAATTGCACTCCAAAAATTTCTTTCGTAGGGTTTTAGCAAATTTTATTGCCATGGAAGCCATTCTGCAGCACAGCATGTATTTAACAAGGGACATACGTGATGTGGTTATGAAATACTACGAAGCAATGCGATTAGAGAAGAACCACGTGATGAATGTGCCACCCCGCCACGAGTTATGTTCGCAATTAGTTGGATATACGTAGGAATTAATCTGTAAAGGCTTCAGATGGTTTAATGGAATGTTTTAGATTTTCATTACCGTTGCAAGCGGCTTACGTTGAAAAGCACTTTTCAAACCATGCGAAAGACCGTGCATACGAAATATTTCAAGACGTAAAAAACGAGTTCAAGGAGGTGGTTAGTAATTTGAAGTGGATGGATGAGGAAACTCGCGTAAAGGCTTTGGAAAGGTTGTTTAGTAGCAAAAGTTACATAGGGTATCCTGCCGATCTGTTGCACTTTGACAAAATCGAGCAACGATACCAAGGGGTATTATATACTACAGCATGCCACTAAACTATAACACTACTTTTAGTACCACATGGAAGAGGACAATTTTCTGGCATCTGTACTAAATGCTGACTACTACGCTACCAATAACAGATTCAAGTTGCTGCACGAACCGGTTACTAAAGACGAGGAGTTGAACGATGCATACGCTACCTACACACAAAGTTCATATTATGACAACGATAACACCATAAGTACCCACTAACCATAGCTATAAGTCGTGATTTAAAACATTATCGTTCCAGCCATACCAGCCGGGATGTTACAAGGAGTCATTTTCGACGAAGATCGACCCAATTATCTAAACTTCGGTGCCCTTGGTTCTGCTATGGGTCACGAACTGTTTCATACAGTGTTCGAGGGCCCAAGCTGCGGAAAACCGAAAATATCGAAGCACTACGATTTTATTTCCACACAGACTATGCTACGTTACAAAGAAAAATTGTCGTGTGTAGCCATGCATTACGGAAAATACTTTGTTCCAGAAGTCAGGGAATACGTAATGGCAAACGATTGTTGTAAGCAATAATCCAAAGTTACATTTCAGCTAAACTCGTCGAATACCCAAAATGAAGACATCGCCGACATTGCTGGGGTCAAACTTGCTTACGAAGCGTACAATGACTGGCTAAGTAAAAATGGTGCAGAGAAACGATTGCCCGGTGTGGACTATACGCCGAAGCAGCTGTTTTGGATTGCGTCTGCCATGAGATGGTGTGCGAAGGGTACGGTGGAATCAATAGAAAATTCAATTGCTCACAGCAGTAGCTCGTTGAAGAGATTTAGGGTTTTGGGTACCTTGCGGAATATGGAAGAGTTTGCTAGAGATTTCCAGTGCTCTTCTACTTCTTACATGAATAATGAGAATAAATGCGAACTGTGGTAAAGCTTAGTGATTTGGACTGAAACAACTAAATGTTAATAAGTAATTTAATATATTTTTATGTTGTTTAGAGTACAAACCAGAGTATTAATATTATAGTGCCCGACTTCTTTTACTTTCCCGTGCAGGTAGATATAGCAGAATGTAGGGGTCCGGCAACTTGGCCCCCTCACTTATGGCTGTTTGTACCGACACATTTAAGCCAAGCTTAGCTTAAGCGTAGCTTAAAATCCATGGCAACCATTGTCTCAATAATCGTTGCCATGGATTTTAAGCTACGCTTAAGCTAAGCTCGGCTTAAATGTGTCGGTGCAAACGGCCATTAGAGATTTGTTTTCATATTATTATTGATTATTATTTTTGTTATTATTTATTAGATTAGCAGCCAACAACGATTACCAAAAACAGGCTACATTAAGTACATCAAACTAAAAATCAAAATAACGTAAGTGCCAGTACTATTAACTTAAAATAAAAACAAATTGGTTTTAAGTTATTAATAAAAAGATCTGGTTATGGTCCCCATTACGCCACTTGAATGAAAGCTAACGCCATCATGGCTAAGTAAAGACAAATTTTCAAAAAGTGAAGGGGGAACAACTTTCTAAAAAAACTATAATGGCGCAAAGATTTCTGTATAGGCGCATTTGAGCGTACAATGAACGGTAAGAACTTTTGAATACGTGAAGTTAGCCCCCTCCCCTCCCCGCGTTAGTGCTAGCTTTAATTCAGGTGGTGAATTTGAATTCAGATACCGATAGATGTTATAAGGGGCTACGTTCATTGCCCCCCCTCCCAAATATATTTAAGGATAACCACAAAACAAGAATGGCGCAAAGATATTTTTTTACGGCGAATTTTATCGCATACCTACCTAGGAGCACAATTTAATATAGAAACTTGACAGAAAAACAGACAGAAAACATTTAAACTATAAGTTGCTTCAACCCCACTTTTTGAAAATGTGTCATGGTTTAACCGTGATGGCTAGCCTTCATTCAGGTAGAGCAATTGGGCGCATAACCAGATGTCTCAGGTGGCATTTAATCTCACTGACGGTAATTACTATCTATTCTCTGTAGTCTGCATTAGCATGTAATTTTTGGCATAGCCTGATGATGGGTATACATATAAAAAAAACGAAATCGATCGCTTAAGAAAACAATAATAAAAAATATTTCTGGTTCTTTTATACATTCTTTATTTACAATACTCATTTGGACGTTCATTGTGTAGTTACTATTTAGTGCAAAATGCATTGATGGTACTTCCATTTTAAGTCTCGCATTCGTTACCTACCCTTCGAAAACGATGCGTATATCATGTTTAATTTTTAAAAGAATTTTTTGAAAAGATTCCCTCTATTTGATGGCTTTGTCCGTCTGTCCGTCTGTTCGTCGTTTAACTTAAGAACGAATAAAAACACTACGTCAAACCTTCACCAATCGATTTCTATGAATTTAAGTATCAGTGCTATTAAATATGACTCAGATTAAAAGACCCATTTCAGAATGCGAGCAGTGTCAAAAAAGTCTATAATAAAAACTTCATATTTACATGAAAGAATGTCTCACATCCGCCTTATTTTCTCATCGGCGATGACTAATCAACCAAAACAGAAAACTGCTAACTCTTACTGAAATATGAGACAAGCGATTAGACACAGTCCGTTGTACCAGTGGATCTCAAGCTGGGGGTTGCGAATCTCAGGGGGGTCTCAGAATGTGTTCGAGGGGGTCGCGAAATGCAAATGAAAAATCAAAAACAATTATTGTTGCAGTAATTTATTTAAGAAACAAAAACATTGTACATTACTTTGTTCAACTCATCTAATGCAATACTTGAACTCGTTTGGAATCAACCATTGTAGATGTTTTTATTATATATTTAAAAAAATTATAATTCTAGGGGGATCGGCAAAATACTCAAATCTCAAAAGGGAGTCGCAGTGTCTAAAAGGTTCAAAACCTCTGCATTATACGATATCTCTTTTGAGAAAAGCGACGAATCTTTCTTTCGGCTAATAATAAAACCCCAGTAAGGTGAGGTGAAGTTTTATAGACGCAATTATGATAAAAAACAGGAAACAATGGTCTATCAAACCTAAATATACATTAATACACCAACTTAATGCCGAGGAACAAAACCTAGCCATATATGTAGGTAGGAATTGTGGGGCATGAAACAGCGGATTTCGGAAGTTCGTCTGGCTGGCAACCATACGGAAGTAGATCACGTTCCTGGGGTCTTAGACGACATGTACATTATTGTACAAGGTGTACAAAGGAACTTGGAATCTTTCTAAAAGGGATAGTAAAGTGAAATCAATACGAACGGAAGGGAAGGGGCGGTACCCTGTAGGACTAATTAGACAAGAACCATAAGCTACACTCACCGGTCTACGAATAGGTCATTGTCATCTTGCTGACAGTTATACACTGCCACGGATTAACTATTATTATTAACTATAGTGTATATTGCTCAACTATATACTGTAAATTGTGTAACCCAGCAGTGTGGAATATTCCAATTTTAACGAAGATCTCCCACAATAAGGAACAAGTACTGCCTCTCAATAACAGCTATGGGAAAGTTTTATGAAAAAAAAAATGGATTGTAAGCACTTATTCGATGAACCTTGCAAATAACTGACCGACCCGTTAAAAATGCTTAGAATGAAATAAGGTCAACATAAAAATTTCGTCGGAGAAATGAGAAACCCCATTGCCTTGACGAACAGGAACCTTTGTGGTCCCTCAACTGCATTGATGGGTGCAACAACGTGTTGAAATTTCCCATCATTCTCGTGATTAGGAAAGAAAGTGTTACTTATGTAAGTATATGCAAAACGGAAATTTTAGTTTGCAGATCTGCGTATATCCTTCAACTTGTATTTTGTAGATATTTATATTTGGGTTTACTGATTAATTCGTTGCAATTTAGTTAATATGACCACAGATATACGCTTTACATGTATCAGTGATATTACTGTTTGATTTTTATATTTGTATATTCCCACTATTGTTTGTTCTGCAACATTGTTATGGTATGTTAAGTCAGAGTATTTTTGATTAGGCAGGGTGGGGGACGCTCAATAGGCGAATGTTATATTTTATTTACGATTCTGTAATGCAAGAAACAATATTATTATTATTAACTATAAAAGTTTTTCTTTAGTTCTTGAATATTAATTATGGCATTCGTTTTGGTTAGGTCAAACACCATTAGAAGGTTTTCATAATGAGCATTTTTATTACATGATTGATGGTTTAATAACTTAATTCGGGAAATGGAATTAAATTTTAACTTGTTTTGAAAAGTTAATAAAGACCGGTAGTTTCAATATAAATGCACAAACTTTCGCAAAATTGTGCTAACCGTGACGTTATTCTAGTCTGAACGGCTGAACGAGTAGTGTACGAAATTGTAGTAAAACATGGGCCCGTACGTGTTATGTGTTGTTATTTTACAATTGTGTGTTTCTGAGTGCCTATCGGCTAGAGATTTCTCACGTAAGTGAAATAGAATACCTTTCGGTAGCATTGGTAGATAAAAAGGAGAATCTCGGCAATAACATCGAGGACGCACTTTATCTCTCCCACTAAAAGCGCTAATTGAAATAAATTGAATAATGTGTAACGACTCCTACACCTTTGTACAATTCTGTTTTCTTTTATATCAATTTACTGCGCAGTAAATATGCACAAAATTTATTATTGTAAGCTTCTATCTATAACTTTACATAATATGGTAGACTTTTTGTACCTAGTCCGGAAATCAACTAATTATACCTACTAATTGAGTTATGCAATTGGCCACCTCATTAACATCGGTATAAAATTTTGTTAATGAACGTTAAAACACTTTTTATTCAACCACACCCTAATTAAAGAAGCTTGTATGTGATTTACCGGGGATGCGTCATATAAGTACATATTTTTTAAATAGAAAATACTGGTGTGGCTTTTTTCATTTTTAGTGGCTGCAAATATAGGTATCCCTGCAATATATTTTTAACTTCTGCAACAAATAGTATCGGAATACCGTAGATATCGTTCACTGTCATTTCTTCAGGTACGCCGTTTTCATTAGAGAATGACCTCCACGTGATTGCGGGTAGGTATTTGTGGGTGGGAAACTAGAACCATATTATCTCTCTAATTAAAAGGCATAAGTTGAGTTTATTTATAGACAATCAAAAATAAATAGTACAACAATTCAGAAACATTTTTAAATGAAATGGCAGACTCGGCAATGTAGTCAGCTTTCTTGCAGCGTTTCCGATTCCATTTTCTGCCCATTTTTCGCATGCAATATCATAAGGGCATCTAGTTTTTCCGACAAAAATGTAATATTTGTTAAAAAAATTACTTTGCATTGTGTTTTTTCGATTTTTTTCACAGGAAAATATAGTCCGAGTTAATGTTAACCGAAGTTGAAAAAATTTTATTTACAAGACCTTCCCCATAAAATTGTAATTGAATTTATGTGAACTGCGACATGTTTCGGCTAAAAGCCATCATCAGGCCGTAAAAGATGGTAATTCATAGAGATGCACATTGAAAATGCATGCTTAGCACCATTATCAGCGCAAAAAGTACGTAGACTCGAGTTTAAATCTTAATTTGTTTAAGGATATGATGGAGTTAAAGGTAACATGCACTTTTGAACGTGAACTATGCAAAAGGCCCGTTTCTTTAGATTTTTTTTGCTACCAAAACAGATTTTATGAGGGTGAGCATTTAACTTGGGCATTATATAATTAAAATAATGAAATTACCATTTTGTTATCCATTTTGTATCCATCTTTAAATGTAAGGAGTTTTTACTACTCCGACTAGAACAACTCACGGTTTCGAATTTCGATTGTTTACGATGAATTGATGAGGTGGGCAGCTAATTCACATAATGAAAATTCGTATAACGAATGATAGAAATTCCATAGCACACACTTATTCTTATACAATTATTAAAACTAACCATTCTCTATTTTCTCACGTTACCTGAAACTGTCTTGATTAGTTCACAAACGTTTTAACCCACACCTGAATCAAATGAGATTGAGCGATAACTCTATGCAAATGTTGAAAGTCATATAAGGGGATATGTATACTAACAACATGCGTAATTTCCTCTTTAATTTTGGTACATTTCCAACTTCTTTAATACTTTATTTCATTTCCCGTTAGAAATCCGTTGCTCTTCGAATAGGCGCTCGTGTCACTTAAGAAAATTTGCTAAAAGCCACATAAAATGCGTTACTGTCCTTTTATGAATTTTAAAAATTTTATTTCAACAAGAAAATTAAATTCGAAATAAAAATCGTGATACGAATTCCCCTCTGCGATGTTATACAGTCATAATTGCTCATTAACAACTACATTCAAAGATAAATTTTCCAAACGGTAGATTTTATGTTAATTCTAAGACAAAAAGGTTAATTTCATATTCATAATCCCCTAACGAAACTAAAATTGCACGACCAACACTATGATTGTGTGATTTTTCATTGCAGGGGTACTTCCCACATGCACAACACCCGATTGCGTAAAAGCGGCGAGTGAGATTATGCACTACATTGATCAAAATGTGAATCCATGCGATGACTTCTATGAATTCGCATGTGGTACATTTCTGAACAACGTCCACTTGAAAAATGAACCTTTAATAAATGTAGAAACAATCATGCGCGATAATTACCTCAGTCGCATAAGAGTGATAATGCAAGAGCCTGTTCTTCATAACGATTCCAACTCAATGATTATGGCCAAGAAGATGCACGAAGCCTGCATGAATCCCAGTTCAAGCGAAAATGGTGTTAAACTAATAGAAAATACATTGCGGCAGATAGGCGGATGGGCGGTTTTAGAAGAAGACGATTGGGATGATAGCTACTTTCACTGGGCAGGAGCAAGCTATTTGTTGAGAAAAATGGGATTTCCGCACGACTACTTAGTTAAAGTCAGCGTGAGTGAGGAAAATGGAGAAACTGCCCAGTTAGAGGTAAATTACACCTCCATATCTTATAAAAGTTTCTAATGCAAAGGTTAGATCGGCAATCCGTGGAGTTATATTAACTTACACACTCCGGAAGAGGAAGATTTATTACACGATTACATGGTGGATATTGCCATTGCATTTGGAGCAGATCCCGAAGCCGCCAGAGGCGATTACGCGGATGTTATTGATTTAATCAAGAACCTTATGGTGATAACTATATTAATTAATACTATAATTAATATGGCGACATTTCAGGGTATAGACAATTATTCAGGTGAAGATCCCATTGTCGACGATGATGTTAAGAGGGCATATTTAACGATATCAGAATTGGAAGAGAAATTTTCGGATGTGGCATGGTCGGAACTGCTTGAAAACCTTTTGGAGCCTGTCGTAAAGATGAACGTAGACCAAGTAATATTAGTTACAGATATGCCGTATTTATACTCCTTAGAGGCTGCACTTAAAAATACATCAGAACGGTACTATCAGTAGTTTTTTAATTGTAATGTTCCTATATAATTTCTAGAACCTTGAACAATTTCATAGCGTGGAGATTGATAATTGAACACAGTAATATCCTTACCAACGACCTGGCGGAGATTTCGCGAAAGTTTTACAAAGAACTAAATAAGCAAGTAACTGTACCTACTCTTTCTCCGATTAATAAGATGTGCTCAGGAATTGTGGAAACAATGTAAATATTACTACCTTAGACTGCAGATAATTAAAGAACGTTTCAGATTTTCACTCTCACTGCAAGCAGCGTACGTACAAAGATTCGTTTCACAGGCAACCAGAGATGACGCTGCGGATATATTAGAAAATATCGTGAAGGAATTCGTGGAGGAAATTAATGAGTTACATGGGATGGATGACGAGACACGAATTAGCGCAATTGACAGAGTAGTCAACATCACAAGCTACGTGGCCTATCCTGATGCCATGCTAGACGCCGATCAAATTGAAGAGCGTTACTTGGGGGTAAGTTCCTAACATAAAACTTTCAGTGATACACAAAAACTGTAGTACCAAATTTCTGATGACAACCTACTAGCGTCTCTGTTAAGCGTGAACTACCATAAAGTAAACTCGTACTTTAGTAAACTCAACAAAGGTGACAACGAAGTGGAAGCTAATGGAGGCGAAATTAACGAAAAGTACACAACTTACGGTATCGTTTATTACTTAGCCAGCGATAATTCGATAAGTAAGCGTCGAGGTAAAAATACCGGTGACTCACACCTTTGTTCTAGCTATTCCACATCGAATGTTACAAGATATTGTATATAATGAAGATCGACCCAAGTACCTAAACTACGGAAGTTTGGGCTCCTTTATTGGTCACCAAATATTCCACTCCGTCTTTGAAGGTTCCCCTATTCGACAAGAATCTGAATACTACCACTGGATGTCACCAGAATCGCGCAGCGAGTACCAGAAAAAATTGGATTGCGTAGCGGAAAGCTATGAACGCTTCTACGTACCGGAAATTGAGCGACATGTAAAAATACCAATGTGTTCAAGCAGAAACTAACGAAGTGTTTTAGGTTAACTCAACGAATACAAAGCAAGAGGACATCGCAGACATTGCTGGCGTTCAACTTGCATACAAAGCGTATAAAGAATGGATCGATCGCAATGGTAAAGAAAAAAAATTACCCAAACTCGATTACACGCCGAAACAACTATTCTGGATATCGTCAGCGATAAGGTTTTGCTCAAAGGGTTCACCTGAAACCATCGAAAGGGCTGTGAAGCATAGTTATCAGTCCCTTAAACGATTTAGAGTGTTGGGATCTTTGCAAAATTCAAAGCATTTCTCCAAAGATTTCCATTGTCCGGCAGAATCAAATATGAATTCGCATAAGAAATGTGAGATATGGTGAGCGTAACGTCCACCAGGTTACTTAAATGTAGTTTTATTTAAAAATATATTGTACCAATATATCTTTCGTTCTTCCTGTTAATCGCGGGCAACTTAACACCCAGTAACGTAGACGATCCCCGAACCTAGAAAGCTGAGATTGGAAGAAAGTGTTACTGGAATCATTTCCCTATTTGTTTAGGTGGTAATCTACTGGATTAATACACGAAATAGTTTAGTTATACGAGTTCTGAACATTAATAATTTAATACGCATATTTAATTTGTTCGTTGTTCCAAATCACATTTTCGCACCGATACAGTTTACAGGAGACACTCCAGCCAATCTGGAAACAGTGCAACTAATCGCACTCGGTAAAGGCGCTTTATTTATGTCCCAATGAATAAAAGATCTGGAATCAATAGTTCCTTACCATAGGTAATTGAAGTAATCTTTTTCTACAACTGTCAAAAAAACCTGTCATTTTCTGACGAATTTCGAAACGCGAAGTACTAGATTTTTAAACGGTTAATTAATAAATAAATAAAGTAAGGTTGCTCTTGACAACGTGCGCGTAGTCGTCAACAGTAAAAAAAAAGTATTTCGCGCACGTGACAAAGTTGAACTTAAACAGCAAAGAATATAAATAACAATTATTAAGAAAATTATATTTCACTCAGTGAAAGGTTTGGATGAGTAAAACCGTTTTTTGTCGTACAAAAAACTACATAAGCTTGCCAATTAACTGCAAGGTCTTTTAACGTAAAGACCGTTTTCTTCCAAATTTATCAATTTATTTCCAACACTCGACTTCTTATTTACTAAAGATATATGTACAGTTTGTACAGAATCATACAAAAAACCTAATCATCTTGTTTGGGCTGTAATGTACATTTATTTCAATTTCCTCCTCGCTCTACTTTATAATAAATTCCTTGGAAGCCTGAGTTTCATTGCTGCTTTTTTATGTTACCGTGAATACAATATGAAAGGTGAGTAATTCAACTGACATAAGGGTAGGTATTAAGCATGTTATGTATTTAATCGCAACGAAGATCATTGTTGGAAAGTCCCTCCTATTATGCAGTTTTAATGCTGGTCTCCTAATATAAAATGATCCTCTTTAAATTCCTAAAATGAATTAGAACTAAAGAGTAATTCTAATTTGATAGTTTGTCGCCTATTGGTGGGTCATTTGTAGCATCAAAATTTTATATGCCGTCAACGGTACAGACCGACATTTTAAGCATAAAACAGCAGTCCGGTCTAACACTCTATAACCATTAATAACTTATTGATTGCAGGCTTTTACGAAACACTGCAAACATACAATGATTCACAATTGTTTGGTTATACCTGCACTTGTACGTCTCTTAAGTTTCCATAATTTTCAAAAACTTATTTGTTGTTCTAACACTAACATTTTAGGACGTTTACTAACGTGTCCATCCTAATAAACAAGCAATAAGAAATCCAATGAAAACCATTTATGAATTCCTAGCCGAACTATTTCTATTTTTGTTAATGTTAGGTAGTAATACGACTGGGCACATAATGTCAAAATACCTCAACGACTCGTTTCAGAACGTAGATAATTTATTCAAATAATATTCAAAATATGCAAGATTGGTAAGTAAGTATTTGCTAACGAAATTTAAGCACAATACGTATTGTAAGGTAATTCCTTTTCATTTGCTATTGATTAATTGAGTTGAATACATAATATTTTAAGTGTACTTGTAGTTTACAAAACTTTCGTGTGTATGCTTTCGAATAGTACTCCCCTTTTACACTCTTACTGCTGTTCCTGTTTTTAGTTTATGGCATCAGGTAGAAATCATAAGTTTTGCTGCACTATGTCGCTCTTGTCATAGAAAGCAACGATAAAGATGCCTTTGTACTGCATGCTTACGTTCATTTTTTCCTTATTCACATAAATATTTATGCCAAAAAACTGCAATTCTGATATGCAGTGGTATTCTGGGAAGTTCTGGGGACGAAATTAACCCAAAAAAGGTTCTTCAGGTTACATTCACAGATTCTTTGGACGTACACTACTTCATCTCAGTAAATTAATCCTGTTGCGGGGTTATGTACGGCAGATATTACACTGGTGGGCAAATTAACTTTATTTACACACACTAATATCAAACTATATACATATTAACAGAAAAAAAATGTTTCGTACTTAGGTAAAACAGTATTTAAACGAGACAGCCACCTAAGCAAAAAAAGAAAATTCTATTCGCCGAAGGAAGTCAAAACCCTCTGATCACAAACGATCCAATGAGAAGATGCGGTTGGTTGAGAAAGGTAGGATTCGATAAGGTCCATATTTTTTTGGGGCAAGCTTGACACTGAATCCTTTCTTTTGGTTATTTAATGGGTGTAGGGTAAGCCACACTAGGCCTTCTAAGCGGGAGTGTTTTTTCGTTGGCTATCTGCATACTTTTTCCCCTTCTCTTTGGCACTCTCGTAGTGCTGCCGAGCTTTTTTGAGAAAATCTGCTATGTTTAGGAGGTATGGAGTGATCTCGGGGGATGTAATCGCTGGCAGTTCTTAGGTCTCTTCCCCTTGATATGTGGCAGTGGTTTGGTATTTCGTAGTGTTCATGGTGAACCTGATCATCGATAGTTTCTTTGACCAATTGGTATGGTCTTTTACCACTATTGCTAGTTGTGATTTTAGCTCACGGTATTTACTTTCTACGGGGTTTGCCTACACGGGCTTGAGGGACTGCGGTATCCTCAAGCAATGGCTGACCTGCTGCATCGTGTTGCTAACGAATTGGGTACCATTATCGCTGCGTAATCGTCGTGGCATTCCATATCGGAGGAAAACTTCTGAATGAGTACTTCCGCACACGTTTCGCTGCTACTTTTTGGTTACTCGCTTTGTATCGTTGGCAGTGTTGGCAGTTTTTGACATAGTCCGCTATTTGTCTTTTCATGTCGGTTCGATAATACCTGGTGGCTATTTTCTGGTACGCCAGGTCGCCTACGTAATGTCCATCTGTGGAAAGATCGTAGACTTCGTACAGTACTTAGAATATTTCCTGCTGCGGAACTACC